AAATGTTTTTTGAGCAGCAAATCAGCATATTAAAATAATTTTTGAAGGATCTTAAATTGACATTGGAGTAATGGCAGCTTAAAAAATTCAGCCTTACAATCACAGGAACAAGTTAGATTTTATAATATATTACAATAGACAATTAGTCTCTTATGATGAGCATAAGAGACTTATTTCAACAACATCAAAAATTAATTATTGCAAACCTGACCGGTAGGGTATATATAATCTGTCTTCACTGCCACACGATATATATATATATATATATATATCGCCCAGCCCTAGCAGGAACTGTCCGTGATTACGTCATTGCCAAACTGTCATGTCCCAGACCTCACTGGATCAGCAACCGTATGTGTGTGTGTGTGTGTGTGTTATCTGTAAGAAGTGGTTGTGTTGTCTTTATTAGCTGACTGGAAACCGTGCTGTTGAGATTCTGTTGTGAAGGTCAATAGGCAGAGCTAGTCCTTATATTTGAGTGATAGTAAGATGCTTTTGTGGGTAGATGGGTATCTGTGTATTTTACTACTCACCAATTCATCACTGCTTGCAGGAATGTCAGAGTCAGAGCAGACCATGAAAGGGACGTCTCAGATTAAGATCCTCAATGCTGAAGAGATTGAGGGCATGAGAGTTGTGTGCAAGGTAAACCAACATAATAATTTAACATATTATAACTTTGTATGAAGAAATGTAACGGTTGAAGTTTTGGGTGTTGTGAGAGCCATTTTCTGCCTCTATTTGAACACCGATTGTTCTGCCACAGTTTGTTCTGCTATCAATTTCTAATTTAAGTAGTCATTTAAATGTTAGGTATAAGGGAACCCCAGAAAAACACTTGATTACACAAGATAAATTCACAAAATGTATGCAAATATGCTGAAAAATTGTCTAGTGGGATGGCGGCCTGTCAAGTCTATCACAAGTACACAAAAAAGATTTGAATTGTTAAACATAAAGACAATATTTGTTTCGTTTAGCTGGCTCGAGAAGTCCTTGACATTGCTGCCCTGATGGTGAAACCTGGAGTGACGACGGAGGAGATAGACCATGCAGTGCATTTGGTAAAATTTCACAGCCTTTTTTCTTTTTCTAATCTAAATATTGCAAAGTAGTAGTCTGATCAGTGCAGAGTGTTTAAATACAGATTATCTAAGGGAAATGTGAAATTGTTTATGCATTCAGATGAAAAAAAAAAGTCTTTTTTATTTGCTCTAAATCAGTGGTTCTCAACCTTTTTGACTCCAAGGCCCACTTTGTCCATGAGTCCCTCCTATTTAAGCTATACATCTGGTACTTTTTTTATAATAAAAAGGAAATAATTCAATATGTTGCCAGTTTAATATTTTACATCTTTGTTGTAGCATTTTTTTAGCACTTTAATTAACATTGTTAATGTAACTAAATTGAAATAATTTTAAGACATTTTGGGGTTCTCCTTGGAAGTTTGCCAAGGCCTCCTAGTGGGCTTCTGGTTGAGAGCCACTGCTGTAAAGGTCGTGGTTCAAGCTGGAATAATGTTTTCTAGTTTTACTTCCGGGGAAAAAAATGTATAATTTTGACAATTGTTTGACGACTGTTTTTGACAGTGTATATATAATAAACGCTTGGGATTTTTAAAAATTCTACTGTCATTGTCATTTGAGCAGGACAGCCTGTATGAATGTTGATGCTAATGGCAAACGATTTGTCCATACTTGTTGGTTAAGGCATGTACAGCGAGGAACTGCTATCCCTCACCTCTGAACTACTACAACTTTCCCAAGTCCTGCTGCACCTCTGTCAATGAAGTCATCTGTCATGGGATACCTGACCGCCGTCCCCTCCAGGATGAGGACATACTGAATAGTATGTATCAGCATACATGTGAACAGTAGTATATGAATGCATCTTCCTTGCAAAATTTTTATGGGAGATCTGGTTTTTGCCCTCAAGAGGGCTGTTATAGAATAACACCCTCCCTCTATATTGACATTATATTTCATATTTCAGTCAGTCCAGATGGCAGATAGACATTCACTGGACATTCGAGATTTGTGTGTGACTGATTTTTCCACATGTTCACATTTCTGTGAATGCATTGGCTTGTTCTTGCAGAACTCTGTCCAGACTGATGTTTTTTCCTTCTGCTCAGTTTAGGTACCATTGTCAAAATGCCATATTATTAAAGCTGTTTATTCTTGTTACTGTCATAATAGATAAGTAAAAGAAACAAATGACCAGTGACATGTAGATCTCTTTATTCCTTGCTACATGTTTTGTCATTGGTCACCTTAATTTAAATATCATAGGCTACAGCAACAATGAACTGAGAACTACTTCTATTTACATTTAATGCCAAATTTACACTAAACAGACCTTATGCTGAAGGCAAGATCCAGAGCCAGATGGAATCTGCAGCCTTTTTTTCTTGTTTTGTTTTTTTGCTTTTGCACTAAATGTTACATGTTCACTTGGCTAATCATATGTAATTTTTTCCCCCTGCAGTCGACATAACAGTTTACCACAATGGTTACCATGGGGATCTGAATGAAACCTTTTTCGTGGGTGAAGTAGATGAGGGAGCCAAGAGATTGGTTCAGACCACTTATGAATGTCTAATGCAAGCCATCGACTCTGGTGAGTATGAAAGCAGATGCAAACAACACTAAACCATTCAACAGACTCCATGTGATTTGAGTTTGATTCATTTTTGTTGGGCTAGATTATGTAGTGTACAGTGTATTTGTGTGATGTGATGTACACTAATGATCTTTAGAGGGCAGACTTGTACAGAGGGATATCTTTGTTGTGACCTGAAAAAGGTTGTTTCTGTCTTGTGTCTAGTGAAGTCTGGTATCCGTTATCGTGAGCTGGGAAACATCATCCAGAAACACGCGCAGGCAAACGGTTTCTCTGTGGTACGGAGCTATTGTGGCCACGGCATTCACAAACTGTTCCACACGGCACCAAACGTACCGCACTATGCCAGTGAGTAACATCTTGTCAAAAAGACACCGTCTGAATGATACAAGCATTGCGAACTGAGATGTAATTGAACCTGCAGAAAACTTGTACACTTAAAGCTTGTACTGTCCTTGTTTTATGTGTCTTTACAGAGAATAAAGCTGTAGGAGTGATGAAACCTGGTCATGTGTTCACTATTGAGCCCATGATCTGCGAAGGTAGAAGACAACTTACAAAACAATTTTCTTAAATCTTAATTGTGTACTTATTGTTTAAAATTATAAAAAAAAGGATTTTTAAAAATAGGGCTGTCAAAGTTAACGTCAAACATGCAATTGGTTTGTTCATTTACACTATCCTTCAAAGCTTTAGGGTCAGTAAGATTTTAATTTTGTAAGAAATTAATACTTTTATCCAGCAAGGATGTATTAAATCGATCAGAAGTGAGAGGCATGTATGTTACAAAAGATATCAATTTCTAATAAATACTGTTCTTTAGAACCTTCTATTTGTTGAAGAGTCCTGAAAAGAAAATGTCTTATGGTTTCACAAAAATATTAAGCCATTTGGTGCTCAAATTAATAAATTAAATTGTTTTCAAAATTGATAAGAAATGTTTCTTGAGCAGCAAATCAGCATATTAGAATGATTTCTGAAGGATCATGTGACACTGAAGACTGGATGCTGAAAATTCAGCTTTGCCTTCACATGAATAAATTACATTTTAAAATATATTCAAATAGAAAACAGTTTTTCTATTGTAAAAAATATTTTGCAATATTACTGATTTTACTGTATTCCTGTTCAAATAAATGCAGTCTTGGTGAGCATAAGAGACTCATGAAAAAAATATTTTTCAAACCCCAAACATTTGAAAAGTAGTGTAAAACAAAACTTTACTTTTTTTTTTTTTTTACGCTCAGTGTTCCTGTGTATCATGCGCACAAACTGCTCGACCTGACAATTGCACATGCAAGTTTTCTTCTTTTAACATATACTGTTAACTATACAAATGTGAGATTTGATGTGATTAAATATTGTAATCAATTGAATATTTAAGAGTCTTTGCTCTGTGCAGGTGGCTGGCAAGATGAGACGTGGCCAGATGGTTGGACTGCAGTCACTCGTGACGGTAAACGCTCGGCCCAGTTTGAGCACACGCTCCTCGTGACGGAGACAGGCTGTGAAATCCTCACACGTCGGCTTGAGGATAATGGCCGTGCTCACTTCTTGTCCCAAATGTAGGATGGTGGGGTCATACGAGCCCTATTCTGCAGTGGAGGAAACAACAGCTCCGCCCCATATCACCAATCAGCCAATCACACAGTGGTTCTCTGTTGGGCAGGAGACGATTGGCCACGTGGCCGTGACAATGAATTTGGGCAGGAGGTGGAGATTTATTAACTTCTGAATGTGTCACCTGACAGTCACATTAATCAGCTTGGATCTGAGTACATTCAAAGGCACTGGCCTTTAACCTGGTTACAGTGCCGCCACACTCTGTCTACATGGCAACGGTATCTGTGAGTGGTTTTGCGTGTGCGCACCTGTGTGTTTGAGAGAGAGCGCGCTGACTGTGAGGTTTGCTTTCTCAGTCTGCTTCAGTGTGTTTGTCTGCCTGGCTCGTTGCAGTGTACCGTGTTTTTGTTAGCCATTGTTGGGGTTTGAGATGCAACGAGTGGATGTGATAAAACACTGGAGTCTCTCCAAATCTTATCAAATCTTGATTGATATATGAAAACTCTTTATAGCTAAAAGAGTGCCTCGTAACGTTATTGAACATTGTATAAATGTTTTTCATGAACTTCTTCCAGTGTCTTGTTTGAGTGACTGTCTATGAACACCTAGTGTCCTTTCACTGCAGTCATCCTTAGTCAATGAAAAGATGATTTTTGTTTGTCTTTGGTTGTTTAATGCCACTTAAAGAGCAATGCGAAAAGCAGTTGCAGGCCTCTTTGTCTGTTTGACGCATCTCATGAAATCAGTTTCACGGTTTCAGTATTCAAGCTGAATTAAAGTATATTTTCTCCTTTTATTTTTTGTGATTTTTTAAAATTTATTTTTAATTTACAACAAATGCCAAACATCAGACAATCATCACAAAGGAAAGACATTTCAGCAGTGACTTATGAAAGCAACTGAAAAGATCATCCAAGAGATTCATCTGTATTGAATTCTTGTTTGTTTTTGATGAAACCTAATTCACTTTTTAGCCAGGCATAAGATTCGTTCCATTACTTCAGTTCTTTCTACACCTTTCAGAAATAGTTACAGTGCTTTAAAGTAGTATTGAGTGTGTCTGCGGTAAGTCTGAGCAATCTGTTCCCATCCGATTGTCTCAAACTGTGGCGTAGAAGTTGAGTGGAGATTAAATGATTGGATATATTCAGTATGCATCGAATGCTGTAAGATAAGGGGGGAAAAAAGTTAGAACTTTTTCCTTATAGGTTTAACCTGAGGTAAAAAAGTGAGAAATGTACCATTGTCCAGTCTTCATGAGGTTGATGGCATCATTGGTCTGCTCCAGGTCCATTTTGTGGGTTATAAAGTCGTCAAGCTTTATTTTGCCAGTCATGTAGTCACTAACCACCTTTTTCACATAAACGGAAATGAATACATGCACAGGCATGTGCTCTCAAAGCCATAGAAAGCATTAACTGACAGCTGGTTTACCTCCTAATAGGGTTCCCTTCCAGGTTTTCCCAGATATGAATTGAATTTGTCGTGCTGAAATGTCTACATCAGTATAGCCAACCAAAATACTCACACCCCAACCTTTTACACAGGACTCCAGTGCAGTTCTCTGAGGTCAAAAACATTAAATTCACACACAAAAAAAATTCAAGTACTGAAAGCTTTTAAAGGAGTTAGTAAATGAATGCACCTTTTACAAATGTGTCAGGCAGGTCTTACCATTACTTCAGTGTTGCCCACACACTCAAGTGAGAAATCCACTCCTCCGTTGGTCATTTCTGCCAGTACTTCAGAGATGGGTTTATTATATGCCTTCGGATTCAGAAAATCAGTGGCACCAAAGACCTTTGCCTTCTCAAACTTCTGCTCATTAATATCCACAGCAAAGATGCGAGAAGCTCCGGCGTTTTTACAGCCCATGACTGCAGCCAGACCTACTGCACCCAGTCCAAACACTGCACACACTGAGCCTGGTGTAACCTTCACACAAACACAAATGAGTTACTAGTGTAAGGCACCTTAATATTCACCTTACCGTTCAAGACACAACTATTTGAACACTTAAATTACAAACTAAAGTGCAAACTCGCATTATTAAAAATTTATTAATTTCCTTGAAAAATGGCATCTGCACGTTTTTTTGTCTTATTTTTGTCTTCTCCATTAAAAATTCTAGTGGCAACATATGCTCTCTAATAATTAGCATGCAGTACTAACCTCGGCCACCAGGTGACAATATCAGTATGTCGAAATATAAAGCGTTTGAATAGTGTAATTACAAGAAGTTTTTGAAAATCTTAAGACAAAATTATATGTAATGTTAGACAGTCTTCTAATGCGGTAAATCTCTCAAGTTAAAAGTTAAGTTCACCCAAAAATAAAAAAAATTCTCATCATTTAGGCTGCGTTTACACTCAAATATTCAAAAACATACTCAATAATGCAATCAAGACTTTTGAGAGGAATTGATACTAGTCTCGCATAGCCAGAACTTCAGACTGACAGCTGAAGGTCTGGAATCCATGGCAGCTTTCATTGGCCAAGGCCCGTCCATGAGGCCGCTTGACCGACATGTCAAACAACCAATCAAATAGTTACAGTGCTTTAAAGTAGTATTGAGTGTGTCTGCGGTAAGTCTGAGCAATCTGTTCCCATCCGATTGTCTCAAACTGTGGCGTAGAAGTTGAGTGGAGATTAAATGATTGGATATATTCAGTATGCATCGAATGCTGTAAGATAAGGGGGGAAAAAAGTTAGAACTTTTTCCTTATAGGTTTAACCTGAGGTAAAAAAGTGAGAAATGTACCATTGTCCAGTCTTCATGAGGTTGATGGCATCATTGGTCTGCTCCAGGTCCATTTTGTGGGTTATAAAGTCGTCAAGCTTTATTTTGCCAGTCATGTAGTCACTAACCACCTTTTTCACATAAACGGAAATGAATACATGCACAGGCATGTGCTCTCAAAGCCATAGAAAGCATTAACTGACAGCTGGTTTACCTCCTAATAGGGTTCCCTTCCATGTTTTCCCAGATATGAGTTGAATTGGCCTTGCTGAAAAGTCTACATCAGTATAGCCAACCAAAATACTCACACCCCAACCTTTTACACAGGACTCCAGTGCAGTTCTCTGAGGTCAAAAACATTAAATTCACACACAAAAAAAATTCAAGTACTGAAAGCTTTTAAAGGAGTTAGTAAATGAATGCACCTTTTACAAATGTGTCAGGCAGGTCTTACCATTACTTCAGTGTTGCCCACACACTCAAGTGAGAAATCCACTCCTCCATTGGTCATTTCTGCCAGTACTTCAGAGATGGGTTTATTATATGCCTTCGGATTCAGAAAATCAGTGGCACCAAAGACCTTTGCCTTCTCAAACTTCTGCTCATTAATATCCACAGCAAAGATGCGAGAAGCTCCAGCGTTTTTACAGCCCATGACTGCAGCCAGACCTACTGCACCCAGTCCAAACACTGCACACACTGAGCCTGGTGTAACCTTCACACAAACACAAATGAGTTACTAGTGTAAGGCACCTTAATATTCACCTTACCGTTCAAGACACAACTATTTGAACACTTAAATTACAAACTAAAGTGCAAACTCGCATTATTAAAAATTTATTAATTTCCTTGAAAAATGGCATCTGCACGTTTTTTTGTCTTATTTTTGTCTTCTCCATTAAAAATTCTAGTGGCAACATATGCTCTCTAATAATTAGCATGCAGTACTAACCTCGGCCACCAGGTGACAATATCAGTATGTCGAAATATAAAGCGTTTGAATAGTGTAATTACAAGAAGTTTTTGAAAATCTTAAGACAAAATTATATGTAATGTTAGACAGTCTTCTAATGCGGTAAATCTCTCAAGTTAAAAGTTAAGTTCACCCAAAAATAAAAAAAATTCTCATCATTTAGGCTGCGTTTACACTCAAATATTCAAAAACATACTCAATAATGCAATCAAGACTTTTGAGAGGAATTGATACTAGTCTCGCATAGCCAGAACTTCAGACTGACAGCTGAAGGTCTGGAATCCATGGCAGCTTTCATTGGCCAAGGCCCGTCCATGAGGCCGCTTGACCGACATGTCAAACAACCAATCACAGTTTGTTTAGTTCATCGTCACGTTTCGGGGCGTGGAAATGTCGCCACAATAACAGACAATAACAGTATAAAACTCTTATTTTAAAAATTCTATGCCGCAAACTTTACATTTTTCACATACTTTTGAAAATCCAGCAATTAGTTGATCCTGATAATCACAAGTTGTCACAGCTGTAAACACGACGGCTTTCTTCTTTCGTGAGGGGGTTTGGCGTCACGGCATCTTTGTTTCCAGGCGGAACGTTAAAGAACGCGACACACACGTCTCCCGGAAATCCTGTATAATTCAACCAATCCGATGACGACTTCGAAACTCAGTGAGTGTTTCCACTTTTGTGTGCCATATGCATCAGACGTTTAGCCAACGGTCCGTGGGTGTGACGTCTGAGGCTGAGACTAAGTTGATACATAATTCAGTCATTTATCGTACTGTGTGTTTAAAGTAATATCTAATAAATTAATTAATGAATAAAAGAAAAAAAGAAAAGAAAGAAAACTCAAATAAGGCTTAATTCTTTGACTTGACCTTGAAAATGAAATGCTTTTGTGGCAAACATGGAAACAAGCAGGAAGGATGAACAAATGAGATGGACTAACCAAGATACAATTATAAAAAAAATTTTTTAAATATATATATATATTTTTTTGGAGAGTGCTATTGATTCTGTCAAAGATACTAATCATACAAACAAGGCAGACATCAACTGTGCTGACTTTATGTGTAAATATTAAATGTATAACTTGACTGTATTGTTTCTTTAAAGGATAGGACATGAGGGATAGAGACCATCCTGGCCAGCCATCGTCTTTAAGAGGATTTGGGCTCAAAGTTAATTTGCTTGATTTGTTCATTAATAGTGAAAGAGAACTCTCATTCAGAGAACAAAAAGAGAACACTCATACAGAGACGAAAGCCCCTTATCCCAATACACGCACACCTGTAAACAGGTGTTCAAAACGGTTATATCCTTATCTCAATTTACTATTCTAAGCCAATAATACCGATTTATATTATGAATAGGTCTGATTTGGTTGGAAATTTTAGATTTACATCATTCATCCTTGCTATTTATATCATGTCTGTGAATAAAGCAAAGAAAGTTTTCCTCTGTCCTTTTCTTCAAGTAATTTTAAATGCAAAGACTTTGGCCAGGCAAATGTGATTTTATGACCCTATTACTTAACATCTGCTGAATTACTGAATTTGTATAAGTATAAAACTGCCATTAATTCAAAACATCAAGCCATTGTTTTTTTCAGGGACTGCATGTCAATTATGAGATTTTGCTTCCAGCTTGTCTTTTTTTTTCAGACAAATGCAAAGAAAATATCCAAAATACAGATTAAAGTGTTTATTTTATTGCATTTGATCTATTTGCATCTGCATATTTCAATTAGAATTTACAATACATATCTTTAAAGGCCGTTTTCTCAAAATGAGTTTTTTTTCATGCACTAGTTTAAAGGTTTTAACAGAGGGGCTTGTTCATATATCATTCACTTGATATATATTTAACGTTTTATTAAAAAAAACAAAAAAAAAGCACGACTGTTATATAATCAATAACAGCACCAATAGTGGCAATAAAGTAAAATAAAGATTTCTAAAAAGAAGGTTAAAAATAACAGAGGAAATGACAATTGTATCATCAACTGACTGAACTAAAGCTTCTCTCTTCCTCAGGTCAAGGAGATACTTCCTCCTGTCAGTCACTCTTATGCAAGCCACAGAATACAGGCTGAAATCTGACCCCAGCAAAAGGGGTAAAATCACTCCTTCTCACACCTCTACACAATGGAGACACAAAAAAAGCAGCTTAGAGCAGGCGCGTAGCAGACGGGGGGGACGTGTCCCCCGCACTTTAAGGTTATTGAGTAAATGTAAATATGGACAGCATAACTGATTATTGGATTATGTATCACAGTTTCCACGAAAATATTAAGCAGCATAACTGTTTTCAGCATTGATAACAATGAAAATGTTTGTGAGCAGTAAATCAGCATATTAGAATGATTTCTGAAGGATCATGTGATACAGAAGTCTGGAGTAATGATGCTGAAAATTCAACTTTGCATCACATAAATAAATTACATTTTTAAATATGTTTAAACAATTATTTTAAATTGTAATATTTCAAAATATTACTGTTTTTACTGTATTTTAAATTGAATAAATGCAGCCTTGGTGAACATAAGAGACTTCTTTCAAAAACATTTAAAAAATCTAATAATTAGATAATAAGATAATAATAAAAAAATTTTTAAACTAATTAAAACAAATCTGTTGTGGTCTGGTACTGCTTAATTATATTGACATGTTTGCAGTACACGCTCTTAAAAATAAAGGTAGGCTACTTTATTGGCATCTAGTTCCATGAAAAACTTTAACATCCATGGAACCTTTCAAATGCACAAAAGTTTTGCATATTCTCAAGAGCATAAGTGAAAAATATTAAATCTATATCTGCCATAAAATATGTGTGTGTGTGTGTGTGTGTGTTGGACAACACACACTGTTGTCCAAATGATTGGAATAATTTCATATAAATGTTTAATAAATGTTTTTTTAAACATATTTATTGAAAAGAAGTGTTTTACGCTCATAAGGCTGCATTTATTTGATCAAAAATACAGTAAAAGCAGTAATATTGTAACATATTCCAATTTAAAATAATGTTGTTGTTGTTTTTTTGTAAAATATAATTTATTCCTTAGGTTGGCAAAGTTTCAGCAACTTTTCATCAAAAGCTACAGTAGAGACATTTATAATAATACAAATAAATGCTGATTAATTGTTTGGTTGTGTGTATACAGCTGCAATCAAAATTATTCAAATACCTTGACCTGCAAGACATTGTGCTGCTATGAAAAATTATTATGAAAACAATTCAACCAAGACATCAGATAACTATTATAGAAAGTTTATTAATAAACATTTGAGTGATTCTGAAAATGTAAAGTTGATGAAAAATGGAAAAATGGTTGTACACATTCATGTACAATAACTACATTTTTGTACACATTCATGTCCAATCATGTAGTCTGTGTGTGTGTGTGTGTGTGTGTGTGTGTGTGTGTGTGTATATATATATATATATGAGAATAGTTTTCATCAGAAGACTGTCTATGCTGTTGTTTTTGACAGCTGGATAAGCCAATCACTGAGAGCGATGCAGTGAAACCAGTGAAATTCCTGCGCGAAGGTGGGTCTGACCCAGAGGAGGCTGCTGCCGTGAAAACAGTTGGGTGGGGTTCCTTGGACAACCTGGGAGGACGACCAGACAAATTGCAAGAGCTCGGTATCAAAGTCATGGATCGATGGCTCTGTGGCCGCGGTGACTACTATGGAACAAAGTTCACAAACAACATGCTCTGTGCTGCAGAAAAACCAAAGGACACCTGTGATGTAAGTTCATTGCAATGGTTCATAAAGCACGTCAAGTTGAATATGACCACTATAAAGACAAAGTCTAATACAAGACTTCTCTTGTTTCTGCTGTCTTTTGGTCTAATAGGGTGACTCCGGAGGTCCTCTCTTATACAAGGACATTGCTGTGGGAATAACCTCTAATGGAGGGAAGAAATGTGGCACCACCAAAAAGCCTGGACTCTACACGATCATCTCCCACTACACTAAGTGGATTGACAGTAAAATCACCCAG